GCTCATTAAAGAAATGCTGGACTATCAAAGGAATGAGCTGCCTACGGGTTCCCAGGCATTTGTCCTTCCTCGCAGACCATAGGCAGGCCCCCAAGTTTAGGAGGCAGATATAGTCATCTATGGCATAGTGCCTAAGGCATTTTGACTGCTAACCAGAAGGCTGGTGGTTCACACCCACCAGCCACTCCTCAGAAGGAAGATTGGGCAATCCACTTCCGTAGTGATACCACCTCAGAAACCCAAGGAGGGGTCACTATGAGTCGGATCCAACTCAGTGGCAATGAGTTTGGTTTTGTATACTAATCCATTTCATAAGGGAGTAGATTTTACATATATATACACATACATACATACATACATATATAGGAGCTCTGGTGGCACAGTGCCTAAGGCATTTGACTGCTAACCAGAAGGTTGGCGGTTCAATCCTATCAGCTGTTCCACAGAACGAAGATGGGATAATCTACTTTCGTAGAGGTTTATTGCCTTGGAAACCCAATGGGGGTCACTCTGAGTCAGAATCAACTCCATGGCATTGGGTTTTTTAGACTTAAAAAAAAAAAAAAAAAGTGAAATGCCTTGCCTTGTTCCAACTATTCTAAACTTAGGTTCTTCCATTCATAGTGCCTTCTACTTCTTGGCCATTAAAATGGATTTCCTATTTGAAAAGTAAAAAACAATGCTTTTGCTTTTGTGCAGCTCTTTGAGAACTAAGGCCTGGTACTGTTTGAGGCTCTGTGTGGTAACAAGCCAACTCTTGCTCTCTCGTGACTTAACACCCAGATGCATATTCCTTCCCCATGATAAGCAAAAAAGGGAAAAGCTTAAGCAGGGAGACTGGAATCTCTCCAGGGACGAGACTGGAAGAAGACAGGGAGCAGTCTGTACTCCACGGATTGTTCTGGTAGAGCTGCCAGACAGGCCGGCTGCCAGAAGCCCAGGCCAGGATGTTTGTTTCTTCTGAGATGGCATATAATAACCAAGAGACCAGGCATTGGAGGCTGTGGTCAGAAAGGGGTCAACCCAAGAGTCCTTATTTCTGAGGAAGCTGTGAGGAATGAGGCACCTTCATGTCTGACTTTTGCCTCTGTGGTGAGGTAGCGCCATCACACCCTGCGTCTCTTCCCCTGAGCTCATTAAAGAAATGCTGGACTATCAAAGGAATGAGCTGCCTACGGGTTCCCAGGCATTTGTCCTTCCTCGCAGACCATAGGCAGGCCCCCAAGATCTCAGACACAAGATCCGGGAAACATGGAAAAGTCTGTAAGCTTCCGTGCCTCCTGAGGGATATACAAGACAGGCTTTGTGGTTTCACATGCTGCCCGCCCATTCCCAACACCACATACTTTTGCAGGTAGTCACCAAAACAAGAAATGGTAATCCCTTAATAGCATGTCACTGTTTATAACGTGCTTTAGGAGACATTATCTCATTTTGAACCTCCTTCCCACCACTTGGTGACTAAATGGGATGGCTGTTATTACATTCTCGTTTTACAAGTATGGGAACTAAAATTCAGAGAGATTAAGCCATTTTCCTGTACCCCACAGTTAGGGCTAAACCTGCCTGATTCATCTGAACAGGCACTGCTCTTTCCACTCCCAGGTGGAGTCCCTGGGTAGTGGAAATGGTTGACATACTCAGCCGCTCCCCGGAACATTGGACGTTCTAGTCCACCAAGAGAAGCCTCGGAAGAACGGTTTGGTGACCTACTTCCGAAAAATCAGCCACTAAAAATCCTGTAGAGCACAGTTCTACTTTGACACAAGTGGTTTGCCATGCGTTAGAATCAACTTGATGGCAACTGGTAATTTGTTCCAAACTCTGACACTCCTCAGGGTCACAGGAGTCTAAGGGAGGTGCCTAAGAACTGACTCCAGAAGTGAGGGGGGCAGAGGGTGGGCTCATCACGCCTACTTCATTCAGTACACAGCTGTTCTGCTTTTATCCTTTTTTTTCCCCCAAATGTTATGGTTTCACAAAAATATTGTTACTATTTAAAAAATGATACTATAAGCCCCCGCCATTCATTATGCTGCTTTCTACAATCTTAGGAAAACGTGCCATATTAGGCAAAAGGCTGCAAAACCTCTAAGCGTTGCCCTCCTTTCCACATCCCCACACACAGATTTTCCCTAGAGGAGGTGCAGTCAGGGAATGAGAAGCCGTCAGGACAATACCAGCTGCAGGAGTGCACAATGCTTAGAGTGGTTCTCCCAGTGTGGTTGTCTGCATCACCTGGGACCTTGTTAGAAATGCACGTTCTGGGGCCCCACCCCAGATCTGCTGAAGCAAAAATTCTGGGGGTGGGGCCCAGCAATCTGTGTTGTAACCAGGTCTCAGAGGAGTCTAATGCTCAATCCAGTGCAATAAACCCTAGGCTAGGGTTTAGACAGGAAGTACCACAAAGGATGAATCAGGCTACCCTGTGGCTCCAGGTATCTTGCTCAGCCTTCCAAGTCTCAGCCCTGACTCATTGTGGCCTCCCTTCCTTAGTGCTTTAGGCCAAGGCAAGCCACTAAAGAGGAAATGAAGATTCAAGTAAACAGCTGCAGATTAGACCTGCCCCTGTCTTTTCTGTCTTCTCACATGAGAGGTCCTGAGTGGAAGGCATGGGTCATGGCTTGAAGAGATGGATCTCTCATGGGTAAACACAAGTGATTCGTGGAAATGGTCTTGGTGCAGAAGCTGGGCTCCCTCATTCCCCTGGCTGTGGGGCAGGATAAATGGTGACCCTTCATTGTTTATGTGTACATTTCACAGAGCCCACACGTCATGGCAAAAAGGCCCCTTTAGGCTTGCACAAGAAGTACAGAAGACAAAGGTAAATACTTTTACATATGCAATACTGCATTATCAGTAATAACAAACATTAATCTGTGGGTAAATACATAGGTAGACTGGCAAAATGATCAGATATGGGTAGGCCAAAGGAAATATAGAAGTTTGGCAAACAGTATTTCTACATGCATATTTGTATGTGCTATAAGAATGTCCATATACATAATAGTGCTAACAGGGGGCAAAGTTATCATAACTTCTTAGCCACAGCCAAACACCCTGAGGGAGTGAGTCACTGGGCCTGTGGGACCATGGTCATGGGGGACATCAAGATCAGCTGGCATAACATGTTACACAAAAACATTGTTCTATACCCTACTCTGATGAGTAGTGACTGGGATCTTATAAGCTTGCAAGTAGCCATCTAAGATGCAACAATTCGTCTCTCCTCATCCAGAGCAAAGAAAAGTGAGGAAAATCAAAGATGTATGAAAACAATTAGTCCAAGGGACTAGTGAACCACAGGAACCTCAGCCTACACGACCCTGAGACCAGAAGAACTAGATGGTGCCCAGCTTCCACTGACAACACTTGGAAAGGGATCAAAATTGGAGATCCTGGATGGAGTGGGAGAAAAATGTGGACCTCAAAATCATAAAAAAAAGACCAGACTTATGGCCTGACAGAGACTGGTGAAACCTCTGAGAGTGTAGACCCTAGTCACCCTTCAAGCCTAGAACTGAACTCACTCCCATAGCTTAACTTCCAGCCAAACAGTAGTCAGGCCTGTAAAGTGAACAATTACACCAGGGAGATCCTTAGTAAAATCACACATGAGAGAACAGAAGGGCAGGATTTGTTCAGGAAGATAGCTCAGAGGTCAGGAATGCATAGGAAAGAAGGACACAGGGAAAAGGTAACCACAGAGAGGAAGTGAAAAAGAGCTTTTACAGTGTGGGGATTGCAATCAGTGTCACAAAACAAAATATATACAAACTGTTGAATGGAAATAAATTTACTGTCAACTTTCACTCTAATCACAATTTGAAAACAAACAAACAAACCTCTAGATTTAAGGTGAGTCCCATCCAGTAGGAAGGATATGAGAGGGACTGGAGCACTGCTGTGAGGTGTCTATGCAACAATCAGTCAGTCAGTCAGTTGATAAATATTTATTGTCTGTTATATAGCAAAAGAGCTCTGGTGGCTCAGTGCCTAAGGCATTTGACTGCTAACCAGAAGGTTGGTGGTTCAAACCCACCAGCCATTCCACAGAAGGAAGGTGGAGCAATCTACTTCCATAAAGATTTACTGCCTTGCAAACCCAATGGTGTCCACTATGAGGCAGAATCGACTCGATGACAGTGAATTTGGTTTTCTTGGTTATGTAGCAGACCCTTGCAACAAAATGTCTGCCCTTAAAATTTACAATCTAGTGGAAAGAGATGATAGGTAGATAGGCAGGCAGGCAGGCAGGCAGACGGATGGACGGACGGACAGATAGATACATACACACAACATACAGGCATACAGAAGATAATTCCATATAGTGATAAAGTCTTCAAAAATCAGGTAATGTATTAGAGAATGACTTGGAGAGTGGAAGCCACTGAAGGCAAAATGTGAGAAAAGACCTTGAGGTCTTTGTCTGCTATGCAAAACTCTGGGAGAATAAAGTGCCCGACAGAAGAAAATACCAAGTGCAAGTATCCTGTGCATAGAATGGACTTGTTACGCTTTAAAATCAGCTATTATGGTTATAGGGGGAGTGAGGAAGAATATGGTGGAATGTCAAATGAGCCATGATAAGGGGTCTGGAAGCCATTAGAAGGTTTTGTGTTCAATTACCATAATTTGCTTTCATTTTGTTATGTCTCTCAAGTCTCTCTCTGTTTTCATTAATGTATTTTAATTAATATATAATTTACCTATAGCCAAATGAACAACTCATAAGGACACAGCTTAATCAGTTTTATCTATGCATACAAACATGTAATCACCATCCAGATCATGACTTAGGCTTAGGCTCATTCTGTGCGCTGCTCAGAGAATGGATTGAGCACAGGTGGGCAAGAATGGAGGCAGGGATACCAGTGAGAAGCTGTTGGATTCTCTTCCAGATGAGATGGGGTTTAGAATAGAATGCTAGCAGTGGAGGTGGTGAGAAGTGGTTGGATTAGATTATATTTAGAAATAGAGGTGATAGGACGTGTTGATGCAGAGGATGTGGGGTGTGAAAGACAGGAATGAAGGAGTCCTTGTAGGTTGGTGGTGACTAACTCTATACTCATTCCCACTGCCATCGAGTCGATTTGACTCATAATGACCCCTCCTTGGGTTTCCAAGGCAGTATCTCTATGCAAGTAGATTGCCCAGTCTTTGCCCAGTCTGTAGGGTAGTGCTATTTACTGAGATGAAGAAGGACTTGGGAGAAGATTTGCAGAGTATTAGGAATCAATAGTTTTAAAACAAAACTCTAATGTTTGTCTTAGAATTGTGAAGAAACCCAAGTATCAAATGTATTGCTTCTACTCTCTCTGAGATATTTCCATCTAGATGTCCTAAACTTAGGTCAATGGTGCATTCAAAGCATGTAAGTATTCAAGTAGACATAGGTATACAATGCAAGCTATTGATATCAGCTAATACAACCACTTTCCAACTAAGCTGAAAATAGAGACAGAAATCAGGCCTGACTTCACTCTTTTCCTGCCTTTTAGATTCTGATGTCTGAGCCAGGGAAGTTGCTACAGAAAGTGAAGGTGTGGCTGCAGGAGTACTGGAATGTCACAGATCTCATAGCCATTCTTCTGTTCTCGGTTGGAATGATCCTTCGTCTCCAAGACCAGCCCTTCAGGAGTGATGGGAGGGTCATCTATTGCGTAAACATCATTTATTGGTACATCCGTCTATTAGACATCTTCGGCGTGAACAAGTATTTGGGCCCATATGTGATGATGATTGGAAAAATGGTAAGCAAGGTCTTCTAACTCCATGTTATAAGTCCTCAGAGAGAAGTTGTACTAATACCAAAAAAAAAAAAACTCACTGCCATCAAGTCAGATCTGACTCATAGCAACCCCTCCTTGGGTTTCCAAGGCAGTATCACTACAGAAGTAGATTGTCCAAGGAAGAAGAAAAAAATTCTTATTGGCCTGCTATCAAGGTCTAAGAGGTAGTCTGGTGGCATAGTATTTAAAGCACTCAACTACTAACCCACAGGTCAGTGGTTCAAACCCACTAGCTGCTTGCTCTGTGGGGAAAAGATAAGGATAATCTTCCATAAAGATTTACAGCCTCAGAAAGTTTATGAGGACGCTCTATTCTGTCCTATAGGGTCACTGGGAGCTCTGGTAGCATAGTGGCTAAGACACTTGCCTGCTAACCAGACCGCTGGCGGTTCAAACCCACCAGCCACTCCTCGGAAGGAAGGTTGGGCAATCCTACTTCCGTAGTGATACTACCTCGGAAACCCAAGGAGGGGTCGCTATGAGTCGGGGCCAACTCGACGGCACATAACAACAACAACAACAACAACAACAACAACAGGGTCACTATGAGTCAGAATCACCTCAATGGCAGTGGGTTTGGGATCTCAAGGTCTAAATGAGATTGCCCTAGGGTTATGTGGGATCTTTTGTTGTTGTTTGTTTGTTTTATATAACTCCTTTTGTGTGTTTGGGATTTTGATTATAACTATATGCAAAGCTGGAAAATTAATCATTACTCATTCACTTACTGAAAAAAAAATAAATAAAAATCATACATTTTATGCCAGGCACTGGGCTAGGAGTTGGGTATCTTTAGCTTCTTTGAAATTCAATTTATTTTGTATCTGAAATAGAAATAATAAATGCATATCTTGCATTTATTATTGCAGGGTTGCCGTGATTAGAAACACCACATGTTGAATGATCATTTCAGTATCTGTCTCGTAGTAAGTTGATAATTGCCTCTGTTATCATTATGTTCATATTATGTTCTTTAAAGTACAATGGAAAAAGTAAAAAATGATGAGCATAGCTGTTCTTCTGTATTCCCAACCTTTTTTTTATAAGAAAGCTTGGTATTTATACCACCAACATCATCTGGGGCAAATATCAACAAGCCTACTCTAGAGAGAAAAACTTGAATTCAATAAGTTTGAATTACTTACTTGAAAAGCTTCAGTTCAAATATGGAATTTTGAGTAGGGGGAAAAAAATATATATATATATAGAGAGAGAGAGAGAGAGAGATACTTGGAAGGAAGATTGGGCAATGTACTTCCTTAGAGATACTGCCTCGGAAACCCCAGGAGGGGTCTCTATGAGTCAGCTCCAACTCGACGGCAGTGAGTTATTTTTTTAATATATATATGTACATATACACATACCTATATATATATCTATATATATAATATATATTTTGTTGTTGTTATGTGCCGTCAAGTCGGACCTGACGCACAGTGACCCCTCCTTGAGTTTCTGAGGCAGTATCATTACAGAAGTAGATTGCCCAACCTTCTTTCCAAGGAGTGGCTGGTGGCTTTGAATCGCCAGCCTTCTAGTTAGCAGTCAAGTGCCTTAGGCACTATACTACCAGAGCTCCTTATAATATATGTGTGTGTGTGTGTATAATATATATATACACACACACACATATAGTATAACTCTATTATACTGCCTCTTATATCATTGTTTTCATACATTTAATTTGAGATTGTGGTGAAAGTTCCTGTGTCAAAGCAAGGAGTTTCAACCTAGAATCTGTGAATGGGTTTAGGAGAGAGGATCTACGGACCTTCCCCCCAATTTATATCTAAATATGTGTGGGCGTATGAATTTTCTAGAAAGAGAAGACAACCTTACGTGAGATTCTCAAGTGCATCTTCCAGTGGACTCAATGAAGGTGAAGAATGAAGATGTCAGCTGTAGTAGTGGCTCATGGTTTCCCAGCCTGGACTCTACTAACATTTTGGGCTAGATTAGTCTATGTTGGAGAGCTATCCTCTGCATCAAAGGACATTTAGCACCATCACTGACCTCTGCCCACTAGATGCCAGTAGCAGACCCCTCAAAATTATGACAACAAAAAATGTCTCTGGACATTGCCAAATCTCCACAGTGGGGGTGGGGAGCGGGCACACTCACCTGCTACTGAGAACCACTGTGTTAGGCAACTGCACAATCTGATCAGTTTCTTCTTCTAATTCATTCTTACCTGATTTTATTTTAACAAATAAAAACTGAAAAGACCCAAACAAAACAAATATATTATTCTAAAAGGTTGGGTCACATTTAAGTCTTGAAATAACTGAAGTCATACCAATGCAGCAAGATGATTTTAAAATCCACATCTATCATTTGAATAATGGCATACTTATCCCCAGTTTTGACTAGAATGAAATCTTACTAATGAGTGAGCAAGAGAAGCTTTCTTCATTTATTCTATCTTCTAACTCATGAATGACTTCATTTGTCAGTCAAGAAAAAGTAGAAAATGACTATGTTTGGGGACTTTGCTTCTATTCTGTGGGGTTTTTAGGATAATCAGGTCCATAATTGAGTCACTGATCCAGAAGGTAGGTAAAAGATGCATGTAGAATTTGTCAGAGAACCAGATGGACTGCCAGGATGGAAACTTACCAAAACACACCAGCCTCTCAATATCAGGAAGTCCCTATTCAATGATAAACAGCCAAGTAACTCACTATGCCATGGCCTAGGGACAGACAGCTGCTAGGATTCCTGGACACAACAATGATCAGGAGCCCATTTTGAAATTGGTTCTATGAGCATTTGCGTTTTAAAAGAAACAGTGCACCAAATGCCTCACAGCATGGAAAACCTGCGAACCCAGTACGATTCCAGCTGAACTGCCGGTTCCAGAATCACTTAACAGAATCCTGACTCCTTTCCATCAAATTCCACTTCTGAGTGGAATTCTCTACATAATACTACACTCACTTTCATAATCCAGAGTAAAAACAATAGTAGCGATCATTCACTATGTGCCAGATAAATGTCAGACATGTCGTTATCCTTCCAGTTCCATCAAAATCGGTTTTAGTGTCCTTTTGTAACAACTGAATACGCTGAGGCTCAGCAAGGGACAAAGACAATTCACAGTCGGCAAGCTGATCTCCTTCCAGTTGTAATGATGGCAATAATAACACATTAACATTGACAGAGAATTCACCATGTAAGTGTTTCACATATATCTCATTTAATCCTTACAAAAATAACATACCTTGTTGTTATTATCCCAGTTTCATATATGTACACACCAAGGTTAAACAGCTTTCTCAAGACTTCCCAGCACAATCAAGATGAAAACTTAGGCAATCTGTCCTGCAAGAACACGTGCTTAACATAGCATACTGTCTCCTATAGAATGCCTATTGCAAAATATAAAGATATTTACAGGAATGAGATGAAGATACTTCTCTTTATATTGAACCAACTGGAAAATTTAGCTTTATAAACAAAGGTAACTAGTCCCTGTTCTCACAAATAATACTCTGTTTCTGCATTTCACTCTGCCAGATTATGGTATTTGTATGGAACTTAAAACTTCTTTGAAGTATATGAAACTGAATGCTTGGAAAGAATGTTTCTTCTCTTTGGGTATTTGTTTGGACCCTTTGGATAACTATCACAGTCAATCTGAGAGGAAAAAATCCTGAGCAATTAGATGAGAACAGTTGATGTACTTACTGACTGAGTTTTGTTGGGCCAAACTGGCTCATAAATCATATGAGTACCGCCTTCCTCTCTTTCCCATCTTTTACTTAGTCTAAATAAGCATAACATTAGATTTTATTAGTGTTTGTTCATTGACTGAAATTTTTATGAATAAAAGATAAATGAATTTTACAAGATAAATAAGAGAACAAGCATGAGAAAACAGGAGACAGAAAGGTTTTCTATAAAACTGTTTTAACATCATTGATTTGCTTGCTTCAGGAGAGATATGAGATCACTGAAATGTGGAAGAAATAATAGTGAACTAGCATATATTTTTAAAGACAGTGAACAAATATGAATAAATGTGAAATTTTGAGATTCATAATTAGTTGCAAAGTCACACAATTATGTGAGGTAGATTCAGAAACTGCCTTGAAAGTTGATTAATTGACCTAATATATATAGAGACCTCAGGGTCCTAAGACATCCAAACCAAAACCAAACCAAACTCACTGTTGTCGAGTCAACTTGTCTCATAGTGACCCTTCCTTGGGTTTCCAAGGCAGTATCTCTATGGAAGTAGATTGTCCAATCATCCTTCTGAGGAGTGGCTGGGGGGTTTGAACCACCAGCCTTCTAGTTAGCAGTCAAATGCCTTTGACATTACGCCACCAGAGCTCACTATTAGATGGTCTGAAGCAAGGGACAGAAATTAATCTCCAACTAGTTTCAGCTTAGAAAGAATATACTGATTCATAGAAAGGGATGATGGAACTGGCCTTAGGGAGCTACAGTAACTAGAGACTCAAATATTGTCAGGTGTCTTTCTCTCTCATGTATATCTGCTTCATTCAGTCATATCATTTTCATTAGTGGAGACCTCAGTCTAACATCAGACACTCTGAAGTCACATCATTATAGAGAGGGAAAGGGAGCTTTAGGAGAAAAAAAAATCCAAAGAAAGGATCCAATTGGCCTGTTGTTTGCCAGATGCCTACCTCCTATCACTGTTGCCAAGGATGTTACCATGGTAAACCTAGCCTGGAAAACATACCTACCTTGTAGCCAGAATGGGTGGGATATGTTTCTAAAAGAAAGAAGAAGGTGGTGATGGGTTCTGTCAAGGCAAAAACAATAGTTACTGTGTCCTCATCTATTTTGGGTGATAAGAGGAAGGCACCTTGGCATATGAGAAACAGATCTCAGATAACATGTATCATGGAAACAAGGAAGGAAGAAAGGAATAAAGAAGAATAAGAAAACATTGTACTAGACTACAGTCCAGGGAATTTGGTAAATTTGTCAAGATGAAAATCCAGCATGTCAACAGCAAGCACAGGTATGAGTCATTAAGCTACAACTTTCTATACCTAAGAAAATACCTTCCGTGGCTATAGGATACCTTGCAGGAGAAGTAAGTATAGAAAGAGTGGGTCTCTGAAGGACTGGTTTATGGTGAAAGATCATGGAGTGGAAATGGGGCCACAAGAAGACCACCATATATCATGGATATCTGGTTTGTCCTAGCTTTGTTCACAGGTAATTATTACCTTGAGCTTTCCAACTCTTCATTAGCCTTTCAGAACTTAGAAAGGAAATGTATACTATTGCAATATAGTTCAACTATCCCGATTATAATTTTGCTAAGAGACCTTGCCTCCCTTACAAGCAGAGAAAAAGTTAGTGATTGAAGCTTCCATGCCAAGACTTGACTAGGTCCCATAGACAACAGTGAAAAACAATGATGTTCCAATGCATGTGAATTTGTTTGTTTGTTTGTTTTAAATGTTTTTTAGTTACTGATAATATTCAGTAGGCATTGGCTTCAATAAACAAGTATCTGAACACAACTCCCTATCTAAATATCCTTTATCAGCAGTATAGAAAGTGAACCTCCTTCAAAGATTTCCATCAATGTCAGCATTCACAGAAACACTCAGTCATATGGATTCTCTTTTGTTTCTCTCTCTGCTTCCCCACACCTTCCAGATGATAGACATGATGTACTTTGTCATTATTATGTTGGTGGTCCTGATGAGCTTTGGGGTCGCAAGACAAGCCATCCTCTTTCCCAACGAGGAGCCATCATGGAAACTGGCCAAGAACATCTTCTACATGCCCTATTGGATGATTTATGGGGAAGTGTTTGCAGACCAGATAGACCGTAAGCAAGTTTATGATTCTCATACACCAAAGTCAGGTATTTAACTTCAATTGGGTCATGTCTTTTTTCAAGTTCATTTGTTTGTTCTCAATAAATGGCTCAAGATAGAGGACTGATTCCTAGCTTGCTATCTTGGAGAAAAAAGGAAAAGGAAAAGAAGGTGGATGTACAATTTTAGCAGTCATCCTCAGGTGTTTCTTCAGGTATGTCCTCGATGTGACACAAATCAACATCTGGTATGCCAAATTTGATCAAGAAATGATCATATTCTGAAAAAAATCTAAATTCTGTTGGGATTTAAAATCCTAGGGCTATGTGTGGAATATTTCAGTATCAGGAATATATTCTATCACTGCTCCCCACTCCTACCCCTGTCCCAGTTTTTAAAAATTAAATCTTGGAGTTTGACTTCAGAGCAAATAAATAATTTTCAATTTTACCATCAGAATTCAGAAAGAGGGCAAACATCTGCATGATGTTTTCCTTGCATTGGAAATTATTCTCCAATTCCCTTTCCCACTGTCTAAATTATGTGCTACTGAGACCCATAGGAAGCTAGTGTTCGTTGCCTGGAAGTATGGAAAATGCCTTAGGTCATAAACTCAGTCACTTGCTGTACATGCCAGGGAAAAAACAGTATCTGTATTATGAAGTGATTCAATGTGGGGAGCAAGAAGCAGCAGACCCATTTTGCACCCTAATAGATGCTGATTCTCTAAAATAAACACTCCTCTTCTATTGAGTTTGAAGATAGTTGTATCCCACTAGTCTATTCCAGGTTTTATTTGAGCCCAATGTCAAGACACACTAGGCATTGGGAAAGTATCTGTGAAAAAAGCATCAGGAAAGAAATATCTTTCTATGTAGAGGAGTTGGATCCCAGGAGCAACTATTTCTTATTTTCCCTGAGGATTTAGCTCTAGAAATAACATCCCTCCAACATTGTTGAATTAACATTTTCAAACATTTTTTGCTGACAGGCCAGCCATCTCAGCCCTGGACTATAGACATAGATTAGTGTTACATAATCAGATAGTATAGTTTATTAAGAGCAGGAGCAGAGACTAGTCAGCACACACCTCCTTACACCTCACCCCCACCTTCCAGCCCCTGCCAGTGTAGACTGAGACCAGAAAAATAAGAGAAAAAAATTCCTAAGGATATGAGTCCCAGGCCTGTGAAGAGAGTATGTACCTACTCTGGCAACAGAACACACTAGTACGTCATTGTTCCTTCCTTGATATATTTTGAACAAATTTCCTTCTTAAAATGAATTATCTGAGGCAAGCAAGCCTTCTTGGAACCCCTTAGTTGGGACAAATACTCATTTCAAGAGACTCAGCCAATTCGCTGAGGAAGAATGTTAATCGTCTCCCAGTTGTAATGTCTTTGTATAGCCTTCACCAAGACAGCTCTCCAGTGACGGGGGAAAATCCTTTTGAGTTCCTCCTTTCAAACGGTCCCTCAGGGCAAAACAACACTTAAAAAGCCCACCAATGATCATTTTCCTCAGAGATTAAATGTGCTGTTTTCCTTCCTAAGAAATTGCTTTCCTACTTAGTTAAATTATTTTGCCTTTCCTGGTTTTCTTTCTTCCCCCAAATGAGATGAAGAATCCAAGGGTGTGTTGAAAATACAACCAACATTCTAGGGTGAGAGGAGGAGGGAGGTGTAGGTATGTTTTATAAATGGGATTCTCTCTGTCCCTCTACAAGTGGCCATTTATTGATGTTGTACTATGAACCCAGCCTAGTGCAACAAACACTACCATCTGGCTGAATCAGAGGATTTATTGTTACTTTATAAGAAGGGCTGATTGTAGTTTAGAACTTGAAACCCCCTGGAGACAGAAGAGTGATGCTTTGTGTGAGTGAAGGATGAAAATAGATTTCCCTCACTGTTAATTCCATCTGCAGTGCTCTATGTGTGAGAATAAATTTCTACCCCGAATCCCAGTATATCACTGGCCCAACCTTGGATGGATACAACCTTTCTCACCCCCTTTCCCCAACCATGTATCTTCCTTTTTGATGTTCTGAAATCAACTTTAGTAGTATCCTCCCCACTGTTCTAAGCTAAATCAGCCAGTTTTCTGTCTAGAGTGCTCAAGAATATTTGTCCTTTCTCAAATGGGTTTAGAAGGCTGCCCCAAAATCTGTCATGACATTTGGCCTAGGTCATTGGACATCCCAGTCATCTAACAGATTTGATTTTCATGTTATGACACTAAGTCACTGCCATTGAGTCAAACCCAACTCATAGTGACCCCTCCTTGGGTTTCCGAGGTGGTATCACGCAGAAGTAGATTGCCCAACCTTCCTTCCAAGGAGTGGCTGGTGGGTTTGAACCGCCAGCCTCTGGCTAGCAGTCAGAGACCCAAATACCAAGCTATTTGAGAAAGGCACAAATCAACTGCCCTACAGTGTCTTGCCTATTTTCTGTGCCGTGTCCCAGGTTGGTTTGTGAAGCATGTATTCAGGCTGATCAGATCTCATATCCAGCTGGACCCACGGCTCTGCCCAGGGCCTGCCAATCCCATCCTGTGGACGTGCCCTGTGTGGGCCTCTCCAAGTGCTGCTCATCCAAACACCCCTGCCCAAAGCAACCATCTCTAATGTAGTGCACGTGCTCCATACCTAACTCTTTCTGTTGTGAACTTCAATATTGTTGAACCCATCTCATGTTTGGGAAAACAGTCTCTTTCTTAATTGGAATGGATATAGATAGACATGTATAAAGGGGCCCTAGGGTAGATTATTAATATCAGACTTTCCCTTCAGAAAGGAGGGTAGCTTTCACTCTGTCACTTCTAGGAGGTAACATTACCTAACTACAAAGTCTTGACATATTTTTCACCTTTTTTCCTACAGTTTGTCCTTAAACACAGAGCTATCAATGAAGCCAAAGAAGCTAGAATGAAACTTGTAAGATTACTTTCCAAATGTGCTTAAAAATGACTTTTTTTTCCTTAAGATTAATTGTAAAATCACAAAATAAGTGCTTTTCATGTCTGAACTGAATTGGACTAACATGTGTTTTGGTTACCTCTTGGTTGTTGTGTTGTTGTTATGTGCCACTGAGTCAGACCTGACTCATAGCAACCCCTCCTTGGGTTTCTGAGACAGTATCACTATGGAAGTAGATTGCCAAACCTTCCTTCTGAGGAGTGGCTGGTGGGTTTGAACCTCCAGCCTTCTGGTTAGCAGTCAAGTGCCTTAGGCACTATGCTACCAGAGGTCCTCTAGTACTGCTGTAACAGAAATACCACAAATGGGTGGCTTTAACAAACAGGGACTTACTCTCTTACAGTTTGTTGTTGTTGTTGTTATGTGCCCTCGCGTCAGACCCGACTCATAGCGACCCCTCCTTGGGTTTCCAAGGCAGTATCACTACAGACGTAGATTGCCCCATCTTCCTTCCAAGGAGTGGCGGGTGGGTTTGAACCACCAGCCTTCTGGTTAGCAGTCCAGTGCCTTAGGCACTATGCTACGAGAGCTCCCCTCTTACAGTTTAGGAGGCTAGAAATCCGAGTTCAAAGTGACAGCTCTAGGGGCTGGGTGAAAGCCCCTCAACCTTGGGCCCCAGCTCCGCCTCTTGCTCCTGGCCCACTGAAGTTGGAGGCTTTCTTCACTCAGGCAGCTGCTGGCTGCTGAGGCTGACAAACTCAAGGTCAACAAATAAAATGGCACAGTCTCAGTTTTACCAAACAACACGGCAGGCTACTAGTTCAACTGCAGAGACAGTCCCAAGATCAGCAGGAAACATGGCAGGTTGCTGATTGAAGACTCGGCTACTACATGCTGGGTCCAAGACCTTTTTGCCAAGACCTTTCTCAAAGCTGCTTCTTGTGTACTGGGAGCAGACCAGCATCCCTAAGGCAGCTACTCAGATGCTCCAGTAGATTCCACCATGGTGTTGATTACCAATCCCATCATGGGGAATCACTACATCCAGCTTCTCAAAACGAGGCCCAGCCAAGTTGACATACAACTTAACTACCACAACACAAATGATGGTTCAGCATCAATCTGAATTGTCTGGAGAGGTAAAAATGCTTTATTTGGAGCAGAGGAAAGTATAGGAATATGAATGGAATGTAATGAAACTAGGCATGAAACTGTGATGGTCTGTTCTACCCTGGAAAGTTTGCCTAATATCCTTGGTTTATTAATGGGAATTGAATTTGCTGTTACTGTTATGGGGCTTTTTCCCAAATAGCCCAATCATGTGTTCAGGTATCTGTATTAGATAGAGAGATAAACACTAGCTCTCTAAGATCCAAACTACATGCTACCACAAAGTGGCTTGGGTTCCAGCTTGCCAAATGCATCTCTGCCAAATGAGGACGTACTTTTGAGCATCTCATTAGGTTGACCCAAGTTGCATGGTTTCTAAGATCTGATCAGGATCCCACTGGAACTGGAGGGAAAAAGGCCACTTAGAGGAGAGGAAGAACAGAATAAACTTCTAGCAGCTTCTATGCCAGTGCTGGGAGAAAAGCTCAAAGTAGATGAGTCTCACCAGCTTAGAATCTACTTCTGTGTCTTCATGAGCAAGGCGCCTGGAAGTACACCTTTGTTAGCAGAGAAAATGGGGTGCCTCTGGCTTCCTCTAGCCTCCAAATGAATGAGATTCCCTTTATTTACAGGGCATTCGTGTGTTGCCTGCTCCACGCAGATTCCCCAGGCTGAACGAGGGCAGGAGGAAAATGAATCATGCTCTTGAATGTATTGAATAAGGGTCTAAATTTAGTCCTTCTCCCACCCTCTCCGAGTAGTTTATATAAGTTTGGGTAGTAATGTGAAAGCAGAAGCTTGTAATGGACTTTCTACCATGACAACTTAATATCATCTGACCATTTCCACTCACTGCAAATTAGCTATCCAATCTACTTAATGCCTGGGCTACTTTAAAAATAAATAAATAAAACTACCTCAGGCTTTCATTTTCCACCTGAAATTGGCAGATAATCTGGAGGGGTAATTTGGTTTTGTTTGATT